TACTGCACGGGACAGGTGTGTGTGTGTCCCTCGCCCTAGGAAGCCACTTGCGGCTGGGCTAGGTTCTGGGGACAAAGACGCTATTCCTTACTCACTGGGAACCCAATGAGAGCCGCGACTCCTCTGACTCGTGGGAGCAGTGCCAGAGGCGCCAGCCTTCCTGGGAGTTCCCGGATCTTAGTCACCCAGAGACGCTGCAGCTGGAGGTGCCAGCGCATGAGTTTTCCCAGGACTGTGCTCATTTACTCCATGGCCCAGGTGTACTTAACAGCACCCCTCTTTCCTCTCGGAAATATCTCAAACTTGGGGTTAGCAATCACACTATCACCTCACTTACACTCGAGCTTTGGGGACACAGAGGCATCTTTGTGCCAGTCGCTGTGCTCCAGGCCTTATTCCATCCCCACAGGTCAGCTGGTGATTTGCCCAGGGCCACACAGATAATAAGTAGCAGAGCCAGCTCTGGTGGCCCCAGCTGTGTGGAGATTCTGGATGGGGCAAAGCCACAGGGTGGATATCTTCTTTGATTACCATGGGGGTTGCTGAGACTGAACAGTGTTGGGGTGTTTGGAGGGGATCTGGGCATGGCATGTCTCTAGAGAGAACTGCACCATGAGGTTCTGTGTGTGTGTGTGTGTGTGTGTGTGTGCGCACCCGTCCCTGACGTTGCCACCTGCTCTTACCACTTGTTACCCTGCTGCATTTCGGAGCAAAACCCTCACACCCCATCTTCACCTCTCGGTCACTCTCCCACCCACTTGGGCAATGTCTCCAACCCTGTTGAGTCACCGAAGACAGCCATGTCAAAGTCACCATGATGCTAAAGTCCAATGGCCATAACTCTGCTCCCATCTTCCTGCTCCGTCAGCAGCATCTTCCTCAAAACCCTTCCTTCCTCTGGCTTCCTTGGTACCACAGTCCTGGTCTCCCAGGACCTGGGAGGTGTCAACCCTCTGCCCAATGTGGGCGTGTCCCAGAGCTCAGCCGCTATTCTCCTTTTTAGTCTTCGGGCTTTCACTCTCATCCATCTGTTGCTGAATCCCATGTTTCGAGCACCACCGACATTTCCAGAACACCAGGGGATGGGGCAAGGGCTGCCCACCACCTGATCCCTATTACTGGCTGTTCTCTCCCGACATCAACTGTGCATATTAGATGCTATAGACATTCCTGCTGCGTTTACCTGTGGGCATATGGAATGTACACATTTTCGCTATTTTCATTTAACAAGATCTGGGACATTTTTACCTCTACCAGCAGAAGAAATAGAGCTATCTCACTTTGAAAAAAGCATCTGAATAGTACATGTATTATAATTAGTCCCCTATTGATAAAATATAAGACTATTTCTAATCTTGGATTTCTTTCTGTTTATTATAAACACTGTTAAAGTAAATATCCTTGGACAAGCAGCATTTAACACATTAAAAAAATGCCTATAGCATATATTGCCAGGAGTAGAGTTTTTGGGTTAAAGTTAAAGGATCATTTAAATGTCCACACATATTGCCAACTCCCTTCATAGCTGTATCAGTTTATGACTAGGACATCAGAGTGTTTGTTTTGCTGTATCTTTGCTACAAAGAATGTCACCACATTTTATGATTGTTGCCAATGGTACCTCATTATGCTATTGTTTTGCATTTCTCTTGTTAAGAGTGAGATGGAGCATCTTTTCCCAAACTTAAGAGTGGCTTGTGTTTCTTTATCTGTGGACTGTTATTTGCCTTTGTCAGTTTTTCTTTTGGATTTTATTTTTCTTGATTTCTTAAGTGCTCTTTACATATTAAAGCAACAAACTCTTTATGTCTGATACAAAGAGAGAAGATTCCTCTTGCCCCAGTTTGACAGTTGCCTTTTGATGTTGTATATGGAGTTTGCCATGCAAAATTAAACATGCATTAAACATCAAATATACCAATCTTATCTTTTATAGCCCTTGGGCTTGGTCATAATTAGAAATGCCTTCCACTCTGAGAACTGAAACAAGTTTTTCTCCCATAGTTTCTTCTAGCTAGTGTGCTTTAATGATACAAATCAAATCTTGTCACTCACTCATTAAAACCCTGCAGCAACTTACCCTCACCTCTACACTGACATCCACATTCTTGTCATTGGCCTACAAAGCCACAAATGACCTAGTTCTGCCTCAACTCCTCTCATATACCCCTTGATCTCTCCTCTTCGGTTGCCCTAGTCTTTCTGTTGTTTCCTTTCCTTCATCCCTTCATTGTTTTTTTCTTTAAGATTTATTTATTTGCATACAGAACTGGGGTACAGGCCAGAGGCTCAGGGGCAGTGAGAGGCTTCACCAGACAGAGCGGGGAGCAGAACAGGCAGATCCTACGAAGCACACTGCTGAGGGGTGCAGCAGGTGGGTCAGGAGAGGTCTGCCGCGCCATGTGGTCACCTCCAGGGCAGGCGGGGATCAAACTCATGTGGAAGTGGCTTTAGCTTCTTTGTGCTGTGCTTTAACCCGCTGCGCCACCAGGGAGGGCTCTTCATTGATTTTTAATTTAATAAACACCACAAATCACCCATAGTCTACCACCCTGTCCATTTTCTATTCCATGAGCAAGCACATTCGGCCCAAGCTTCTGGCCTTTGCATTCGCTGGTTCCTCTGCTGGGCTACTCTTTACCTGGTGATTCCTCTTCCAGGTTCAGGGCTCAGAGGTGTTCGCAGTCGCTGCGCCTGATGTCTCCTCCTCTCATGCCCTCAGCAGTCACTCTTCAGCATCTTTTCTGAAGTCATTTATAGGAGAGCAGGGAGCTTGTCAGTTGCATCCTGACTGCACCTCCAGGGCCTGGAAGGGGGCAGAACCCAGTTACTGTTTGTAAAGTCAATGTTGGGTGCACCTGAGGTTAGGTGTGAGAACTGTCTATTTGCTGTGAGATCGGGTCGTTGTGTACGGGGAGGGCATGGATATGTCTTGGTGTGTGCGGTTGTGAATGTGGGTGATTGAGAGCTGACTACGTCTTGTGAGGTTGTGTGGCTGTGTTCGAGGTGGTGGTGGCTGGTGGTATATGTGTGTGTCGCCTTATTCTGCTTTCTGGTGACTAGCTGATCACTGGCCTTTCATTCTGACCCTTCTTTTTTTTTTTTTTAATTCATGCAGAACTGGGGTACAGGCCACAGATGCGGAGGGTGAGAGGATTCACCAGGAACAGAGTGGGGGAGCAGAACAGGCAGATCCACGAAGTACACTGTTGAGGGGAGCAGTGGGCGGGTCAGGAGAGGTCTGCCACGCCATATGGATCTCCTCCGGGACAGGCGGGGATCGAACTCATGCAGAGTTGGCTTAAGCTTTTTAGTGCTGTGCTTTAACCCACTGCGCCACCAGGGAGGGCCTCATTCTGACCCTTCTTAATGCTGCTTTTGACTTCACATAGTGTTTGCCACAGCTGGCATTTGTTTTTTTCTGGAGTGACCTGGAAGAAACCTTATTCCAGAAAGATGCTGTGAGGACCTTCAGCTCTGGCGGTCCCATTCTAAACTTCTGCTTCCCGAGCAGGGGATTGTGTGGGAGGCCATCTAGGGCATTCTCCTGCTTTGGGGCAAGGCTGTGTTGCACCATGGCTTGGCAGCTGCCCAGGCTTCCCCCAACCCCCGCAGGGCCTGCACCTGCTCTCTGGGGGTGGCAGGTTCTGAACCTGCCTATACTTCTTGAAGCCCAGATGTTGGGCCAGGCTGGTCTTGCTCCCAGGCCACTGCATGTGTCTGGAACTCTGCCCAGGCCTCAGGCAGGGGCTTCCTGGGAAGGGCTAGCACTACCCTCTCAGGCTGGGATTTTCCTTGTGATCGTGTGTGTGTGTGTGTGTGTGTGTGTGTGTTGGGGGGGGCGGGGAAAGGACCTGAAGGTCTTCTTCTCTATTGAACAGGGAGGTGGGGCAGGCAGAGGGCTCAGGTGGAAAGATGGGTGCTTTCCAGCCTGGCTCCAGCTTCTCTGGTGCTGTTGGTGGGGAGGATGAGGTGCCCCAGGGCCCATGGTAGAGCATTGCTTTCCAAGGCACTCAGAGTGCCTCAAACTTCTGCCCACACGACTTATCCTCCAGTGGAGGTCATTTGTGACTTTCCCGGGTTGCTATCACCATTGTACGTGTGTACTGGGCCCCACCCCTTCTCATCACCCCTGGATCACACTCTGTCTCTGTCTCAGCCTTTTGCTCTTTACTGGATCTTCTCCACTGCAGTAAACAAGCTGGTGTTTTCATTTTAAAAGATAAACAAGAAAACCTCACCTGACCTGCTTCTTCCAGCATCTTCTTTCTTTTCCCACCCCCAGCTTTATTGAGATGTAACTGACATGTGATGTGTTTAAGATATACAATGGGGTGATTTGGTATGAGTATGTTTTG